CATATTTTTCCCCAGAGAGCAGCAGAGCAAAAGATGAGGCAATGTCTATCTACCAAGTAAACTCGAGAACCTCATAAGTTAAGACAATGAGCGCAAATTCTCACCTTTGGATCCTTTAGTCTGGAGAAATCAGGATTCAAATAGAACAGGACTCCATCGCCAGCCCCCTCCAAGGTAGCACCTCGTATGAGAAGAATGAACAAAACTACGTAGGGAAACAGCGCTGTAAAGTACACAACCTGCATAAGGAACATCAGTAAGTGTTTTGTGAAAAAGAATTATTTACCTGTTATGGTTATGCTTCTCGAAAATGGGAAAAAAATTTGTGCACAAGAATAAATAGTCATCATAGTAAGAGTATAAGCCGAATTGGGTATACTGGAAGTTTAAAGTCAATGCTACGAATATCAACCCAGAAATGTTAAGAGTTATTCATTGGCAGACCACTTTATGGTTGGGGCATATCGTCAGATTTACCCCCCTCCTAATGTCCCACCACATAATGTGTCAACTGAAACAAAACGTAGCTGAATGGCACTTTGCAAGATTAACAAGTGAAAATGATATTTTGGTTGCTGAAGTGAATTTCCTTAGTTTAGTTTAAATAGATTAAGAGCTTAGTTGTCAGACGCCAATTCCACAATGATTGATTTTGAAATAATAATAGCAGCATAAATAACTTTGAATATGTCATTTTTAGAGCCCGAGTCTGAACGCAAAGGATCATATTCATAAGACTGATAAAGGTAATGATTACTAAAAAATACCTTTCCAACTGATTTAACTCCTTTCCATACACAGAAGTAAACAACGATCCAACCCACGAGTAGAGCAAGCGCAAGCTCTCCACGTACCTCTCCTGGTTGATCTATTCCATCAGACAACTTGAGTACGTGTTTGCTAGAACAATGAAGACGGCCACAATTTAAATTGAAAGTTTAAATCAATCTCCTCTAACTTAGTAGATGAAATCCCTCATCCATTCACGATCGGTGAATAATAACATAACATAACATAACATAACAGAACATAAGTATATGGACTTCGAGGTGTTCCCAAACGAGAGACTTACTGGCGTTTTGCGAAATGGCTGATTATCATATTGTTATCAATGTTAACGGGAAATGAGAGGAACTTTTCACTACCCTAACCCTTACTAAGATGGGAAATATGAGGAACTTGACACTACCCTTCCTTTCTCCCCATTTCCTGTGTTTTCTCCCTTGCCACGTTTTTCAAGTTTTAATGGTTGTAGATGCTTTCGTCAACACTTATTGTTCGCGTTTCTAGAGTCAAGTTATTCAATTGTGCATTAGACATGTCTCTTACTTAAAGTATTCTTCCTCTGGAGAGATGTAACTTCCGGTGCAATTGACAGGAAGACCAATGGCTGTGCAGTTCACTTTTGCATCCATTACCCGTTCTTTTCTTAAAAAGAAGAAGATGAAAAAAAAAAGAAAAAAAATAGAATTAACAAAAATTAAAATGCAATCCACGCAGAGTTTCAAAGCCTACTGAAGGTATCAGAGAGGCTAAGTCAGTTAGATATAGCGTTCTTGCATTCCGATAACTGCAGCCTTTAATAATGTTGTAATCTAAGGATCTAAGATCAGACAGAGAGTCATTCTCAGTCATCCCATAGATATCATGTTGTTTGATTTACATGCATCCCTCTCGTCACATGTGTTCATACACTCTCCAATAGCAATGATACTTTTTCGTCGTGATTGTTATTACAGTAGTAACTTACTTGCAGTAATTAGAATTCCACTCATTTCCACATTCACCCCAAGGCAGAGTCTTTCGGAAAGTCGCAAACAAATAATACAGAGTCCAAGCGATGATGACATTGTAATAAATGCTGATTAAGAATGTAATCACTAGCATAGCATACCCAAGACCTGGAATTACACAAACATACTGTCTTAAACAACTAGTTTTACACTGGGTACTTAAAGTAATTGTTCAGCAAGGTAACAGCTCTTTTTTGCTGTCAGAGTGAATGCGATATAAACAAAATATAGGTTGATTATCTACACCTATGTGGTCCTTTTGGGCTCTTAGCATTTTTGTGAGTGAGACTCCTTTTTTAATCCCATCTCAAGTAAATGCATTATGATAATGGTACTTTTATGCACTTTAATAAGATCCCAGAAAACCTTCAAAGGTCTTTTTATACCCAAAAATTAAATTCTCCACACTGTCTTCTTTACATTTTCTCTGGAACTAACAAGAAAAATTTGTTTGACAACCAGGAAATGACTAATGATAATTTCCTTTATTCTCAGGACCTTTACATTTGATTCAAGGGTGACACTGTAAAGGGAAATTAGGAGCCAGTCACTCTTAGGGGAAAGGGTTAATTCTTGACAATATAAATAATGAACTGCAGTACCGATACCTCCAAACAAAGGACAAATTGCCGCCCATGATTTGACGATTCCTTTTCCAACATACTGACCAAGAGCGACCTCCAGGTAGAAGATGGGAATTCCACAGAACACGAGGCAAATCAAATATGGGATCAGAAAGGAGGCTGGGAAGTTAACAAATATTGATGATATTTACTTAACTGCTGAGTTTTTATATTTGTATAGACGAATTTTAACAATCAATGGTTTATGGTAACACCGATCTGAGGTTGAATACTTAATTTTAAGTTGACAGAATAAACACAGATAAAAAAGAAGATGGTTATTCGCCCTGGGGCGAGAAACAAAACGCTTGCTTATGTACATGACGTTAGGATTCTCCAGCAAAGAAAGTACATGATGTCCTTTACACCATTCAGATATAAAGTTAAAGACACGAACATTATCTGGAGACATTGACAATGAAAGGTATTTCGCTTTCAGGATTCACGGTGAAATTTTGGAAATAAAGGCAAACCGAAACTAACTATAAAATAATTAGTTACTCTTTGGCAAAGTATTTAACTAAAGCTGACTTTAATCGCGAACTTTTGTGTCCAGTTTCTTTTTCATTTCGGCTTCAGAAATATGGTATTGATCTCGTTTGATTTTATATTTGTCACCAGTTGAGGTGATATAGGACCCTGATGCAAGCAAGGACTTACACGCGTAAGTTGTTTGTAAGTTCTTGTATATGTCTAAGCAGGCACCCCTTTATTTTCCTCCGGTAGAAAATAGGGATAGTCTAACTGTTAACATGTGAGCACGGTTAGGCCTGTCCCTGCAATGGAAAAATACTTGCTGACCTAGAGGTCAGATAGATACAAGTATCAGTGAATTTTTCTGTATAAGAATAAAGAGCTCTCTATTGTTGGAGCCTGTTTTGCTGTTTATTAGTTACGTTTTCAAATGTTGCTTCTTTATCTCATCCGCAGCTGAAAGCAACGCTTTGAGCAATAGATAAATGAAAAAAACTGAGAGCAATTTCGCATACATTGCTGAAATTAAAACAAGATCTAAGGAAAAGCTCACGGCGATGAAATTATGCAATTGACGCCCCACTCTCCCCCGATAAGGCAAAGACTGCTCAAACTAGCAACGACGATAATTTTTGGAGCCGGTCCACTATTACATAAGAACCCTTTGATTACGTGAAACTTGACTCTAGTCATTGCCAAAACGTTTGAACCTTAGGAATGTTGAGAAAAGTCTTGTATCAACGCGTTTAACGATTCTGTTCACCCAGAGGTTATTTCAGTTTCTGAAAGTATCGTCGAATTAAGTAATTTTCCATCTCAAGGACAGGTCTATCTGCGCCAGAAATGTCAAAAATTGTACTCAAAGCCGGCTACTTGAGTGGTTACGATTTGGTATGCTGTATTTTGTAGCAGCGTTTGTATGATAGAAAAACTGGACATTTCAAATCACTTTTGGAAGTTGCAATTTGTCATCGATTACAGAATACTAAGTGAAAAAATTTTACTTTGACTGAGGCTCGCTTCAAGTGAATCCGTTAGAAACGCGATACCCTAGTTTTGGAGTTGTGTGCCTGCTTGTTGTTGTTTTTAAATCTATCAACAAACGATCCCTTTTTTAAGAAAGGTACTTAAGTAATAAGAGGTGCACGCAAATTTCTTCTTCTCTCGCCTGTATCAAATATAAAGATCTTTCTTTGTACGGAGATCGGGCTGTAATTTTATCATCTTTCTTACTTCGTATTTATAGGCACGAGGCTTTCCAGATTCCTCATCCTAACATTCGGAAGAGCATTCAAGCGCAAAATTGTAAGGTCTGAGGTTCAAATCCTCTTGAGCTTGTGGTGGACTCTTTCTCTTGTCCCACAATTGTAAAAAAATCTTAAACATCTTACTTTAATCGAAAAATGAGCTCAAAATTTACTGTCTATCTCTATGCGCTGACCTCCGTAGTGTTTATCTTTCTGGATTAATTACAATATTTTCCCTTCCATTTGGTAATAATTTAGCAGAACGATCACGCTGTATTTTGGCGATTTAGAAAAAAAAATCGAAATGCAAGGCGAATCAAATCAATAGCATGTTTTTTATTCCAATTTTCTCTATACCTTTTGAGAGCGAGAATGCTAAAAACCACGAGTATCAACGATATAGAGGTTTTCGAATGACACTCTTACCTCCTCCATTGATGTAGCAAAGATACGGGAAACGCCACAAGTTGCCAAGTCCCACAGCATAACCAATGCATGATAACAGAAAATCAAGTTTTCTTGTCCACTGCTCTCGCTTTCCATCTTCTTCTTCTTCAACAGCTTCAACGGGCCTGGTTTCTTCACTTGAAGAGTTCAAGGGATTCAGAAGTTCGGAGTCGTGATTGTTCGCCATAGTTGCACTGACGCCTGATGTGTGTTGGTGCACGAGATGAATAAACTGGATAGCTTCAGCCAATGCATGCTTTTAAGTAGTTCAATATCTGTGACTTGGTTTCGCGCAAACACGTATGTACCCATTTTTTAATTGAAAATTTACTGCTTATTCCCGTCTGTCTTTTGCGACCCTTAATCGCATAATTTGACTTGTTGCCAACATTGAAATGATATTTGTCACCATTTCACACTGAATGATGATGAATGTTGGATTGTTACACAATTGTTTCACGTTACGGTGTGTTTTTGGTCGCAAAATTTTCAATGAAATTGTCATTAGTTAATTTCTGCGCATTTCAGAATCAACAATGATTCAGAGCAATAACTCGGGAATGTATAAAGACCGGGACTGCTGAACTGCTGAAAACAACAGGAACTCTGAGAAAATTAGCCTCAAAGGAAGAGAAAGACGAAAATAAACATGTCTAACTTCTGACAAATTGCTTTTAGTCGATTGCGTATTCTTCCCAAACTTATGTTGACATCAACATCCCATTTAGCTAATCCGTGTCACTGGATACGAAAACCACTTTGATCCACTTGACTTGACCTCGTAGTCTCGTCTTTCAGCAGACACATTGCCAAGTTAGGTTTTTTCGACAGCGAGGGAGATTTTTGAAATATTAAATTATCTCGCAGGTTTTGTTTCCGAATTCTTACATCCCACTTATGCATGTTTCTCAGTGATTCACGCTCATTTTCAGGATGATCTTCTCTAACAGTAAAGTAAACAATTTGTTTCATTACCGGCTTCTGCACAACCTAGAAATCCTTTTTGTGTTAAGCATAATTTACCGCCGGTAGGTATATTTTATATCTGACTTGCCTTAGCTGAGTCAAGACGCAGCCCGAGAATGTTCCGAAGTTAGATTTGAACAGAAACCTAGAGCTACCCACTGCAGCCCGCGGTTAATGTTCAGTTCCTATTGTTTACTCATGTTCAATAATTTTGGGATGCGGTTAGCATCAAGGCCACAAATGTCCATGATGCATGCTTCTGTTTCAATTTGAAAGACTTTTTTCGTAACGTCCCTTAATCCCTTCACAGATCAAAATACATCGTTAAAGGTTCTTTTCATATCATTGGTACAGACCGCTGACAGTGGTGATTCTCTTCCTTCATAAACGTTGTTGACTTTGGAACTACTGTAATCAAATGACTGCAGAGGCTTTTAAAGCAGGTTATGTCTTGCACGGGAAATAATCGCGCATTGTCTTCGCTCGCGTTAGGTTATCTTTCTAAGTGATTTGCATAAACGTGACGTAACTAGGTAGACTTTTAATATCTAGATCTAGCTGTCGATCTAAAGTAAGCAATGTTCTGAAAGTAAATAGAAGGCAGACCCGGCTTGAGGGAAAGAATTGATGTTGGACTGTCTACCCTCAGCCGTCTGAGGGGATACGTGAAAATATGTGCAATCTTTATACCGAAGCAAACATTTTTTTTTATTTTCAGTTGGAGCTATTAAAAGAGAGGCAAGCTTTTCAGGGATATAATGTGCCATTCCCGTTTGAAGTCAACCTGACTCTACCAGCTCCAAGAGATTATTCTGGTGTTTCTTTGAAAAACGTTTCTCTACTAAAGCGAATGCGCTCAACTTCCCTAAATACTGATCACTGAGGAAATCTATTCATGTTGAACGCAAGACGCGTTGCATTGTGAAGCTAATTAAAATCAGCCTTAATACAGAAAACTTTAGAAAGAACGTCGCGGTTTCAGGGGTGAAACAGATTATGACTAGGGCTTTAAAGCAAGATTTCAGTAACAAAAAAAAATTATTGAGCCTGTTCGAGTTGTTTTTAACTTATAATGTCTCGATCTTGACCGAATAAATCCACCCGCCTACGCAGTGAGATCAACCTTTTTGATGTTGGATTGGTCAAGTATAGTTCAAGAGAAGCGCAATTCTTTCAGTCAAAGGTTTATTTTACAAACCATCAAATAATATTACCCACACCAGTTAGAAAATTCATAAAAAGATACTGAAAATGACAGTGTTTCCAAACGTCAATACTACAATAAGTTTTAAAACATTTAACACTAACAAGAGTATAAACATTCTATGTACTGTTTTCTATAAATTTCCTAAGGAGCTGATAAGGACAATTTGTTTAACAATCAAGAGCTTCTTTAGTTGGGAATCATTTCCTTTAGGGCCTGATTTCATGAGCCGGGCTGGCTCAGTTTAGCCAGTGTTTTGCCGAGATCTCGTCACTTTCGTTTAACGCAGCGGGATCCCGCCCAACCGTAAAACAAAAGTGACGAGGTCTCGGAGCCAGCCCAGCCAAACGGGCGAGCCCGGTTTGCGTTATCAGGCCCTTATTCTCGTGACTTTAATGTGTGATTCAGGAGTGATTTTGAAAGAAAAATTAGATGCTAGTCATTTATAGCGGTTCAAAGGCTTAGCGGAGCAACCTCCTGGTTTTTGGCAAATTGGAAAGAGTATGCTAAGCTCGGCATTCGTAATCCCTTTAAATTGTTTCAAGCTGTAATTCTCTCATTATTATTTCTGTGCGTTACATTTTATGGCAACAAAATTGATCAGTAAGCTTGAGGTATTAAACGCTCTTTAAAATGTAGTATTACCGAGCATCGGTGTATGTATTCTTTTTTTTCTTTTCAAAGAAAAGACCCGATATTGCACAAGAGCTATATCAAATTACTCAAAAACAATTCAAATCAAACGAGAAATTAAGGGGCACTCCAGAATTGCTAATGACAATGACCCTCCCCCCCCTAAAAAAAATTCTTATTACTCTCTTTATCTTTAAATCAATAAAATTACTAAAAAAAATTTTCTTAACCCGAGATTCCGGCAGTAATGTCCTAGTCGACACTATCTATCGGACTCGCTATCGTATCTATCTATATATATATAACGTCTCTATATAAGACTACTTTTAAGTACTGTCGCAGCTACTATAGATGTCAGGCAATATTTCCAGAGAAGGTAAGAAAAGTTTTAAGAAAACCAAACTAGAACAGCTTTTCTAACTTTTTTTAAAAGGTTTACATTGCAAACACGTCACTAATGATGCAGGACGGGAGATGCAGGCTGAAAATCAACGTAAAGGGAACATTTGAGAACCAAACAGCAGTAATAATTCAAACAAAGGTAAAAATGGGCAGATAGACAACTGAACATATGGGAAATATCATACATCTTCTCTATCGTTCGTTCATTATTTGTCTTAAAAAAAAAAAAATTGAAATTAGACTTTTTTGGAACTGAATTGTTGTGTTATCTTGGCTCTACGAAAGGGAAACTGGAAACTCTTCATATACCTGAACGTAACCCAGTTTTCATACTTGATAAAGGTATGGAATTATGTTTGAATTATTTTGAGATATTTTTGCAGAGTCTTTACAAGTAGGCAAGTAAACTCTCTCCCTGGCCACTAAGTCCACGTTTGAAAACATTTTTTATAGTGGTCCTCGCTACTTGTAATGGGAATGGAGTTGTGCGGTTTGTTAGTACAATGGTATGGGGTTGAGTAGTAAGGTAGATTGGGTTAGATAGACTTAAGACCTTAGAGATTTTGGCCTGTTCCGCTTTCTTGTAAGGCAGAAAAGTAAATAAATGAATAAATTACTGAAGTAGCCAGAAACTATACCTAATGAGTGGTTTCACTTAATCTCCAACTTCTTCTGTGAGATTCCCTCTTTCTCCTCGACCTCTTTAAATGCGTGTTCATTTGGAACAAGTAACGACTTCAGTTTCTGTAAAGGAGTCCAAAAGTCTACGCTCAACTTTGAAATAGATGAAAAGCAGTGACAACAACATCCAAATAACAAACAAATCGAACAAGTAAGATTAATTAAATAAACATCTTTCTATCCTCTGAGGATGAACCCCATCAGTCAAAGCCAGGAAGAATACGCATCAAGAAACTTTCAGAGTGTATGACACACTTACTTCGAGTACGGTATTTACTCTGGAGGCGTAAATGTACTGGACAATCGCGAATGCTGGAACCATTATCATTGAGGAAATTGCCAGTACCCACCCCAAGAATTCCCCCCCCGCAGAGTAAGGCTTGTCATCGTACGAGAGACCGGACCATTGAATCAAACTCGCCAGAATAATTACCTATAAAAATAATAACAATAAAATTAAATCAATTCACGTTAGCATTGTCTATTCAATCCATAAACTGACCAAAACTATAAAACAAATTTTTGAACATAATTGGTCAACAGCAGCCTGCGTCGTGGTCGCAGTGTAAGGCATTTTGTTTCTCAACTTTTGTCAGAGTTTTGATTTATTGATTACAAGACTTTGTGTCTTCCAATTTTTTCTGTAAACAAAGTAATTAATACGTATGATGCACGATCCTCGCAGTAGATAGCGCTATTTATGCAATAGCGAAAATCAGACCTGAGAAAAATCAGGCCTGTACGGGACTCGAACCACTGACCTCTGCGATACTAGTGCATCAAAATATATGAACTTCATATATTCATTGTATCTCATTTATCACTTTCACGGGTTTATTACGAATCAACTTAACGGCCTGCTCCCAGTTGGCTTGTTAGCTCAATTGGTAGAGCGCTGCACTAGTATCGCAGAGGTCAGTGGTTCGAGTCCCGTACAGGCCTGATTTTTCTCAGGTCTGATTTTCGCTATTGCATAAATAGCGCTATCTACTGCGAGGATCGTGCATCATACGTATCTAATACCGCAGTTCAAAATATATGAACTTCATAAATTCATTGTATCTCAAAGTAATTAATATTATGAAATTGTGCTTTCAGCTCGATTTGGTCTCCACGTGGTCCCCATAACACTAAATGGCGCGTTGGCCTTACAGTTGGTTGGTCCACTCATTGTATCGTTGTATCTCAATCCAAAAGTGTTCTGAAAATCCTCTGCCCCCCGCAAAAAAAGGCAGTGGATGTGGCGTTGGTAGCGGTGATGTTGGTAGGGATGTTGACGGACGGAGTGTTCGATTCAAATATAGACCACCCGCCTCGGTCCTTTTAAGTTTCATAATATGATAAAGGAAAGTGCAGGCAAACCAAGAGTACCGTACCAGAGTAGCAATAGGGGAAACGTATTTCCAGCAAATCAAGAAGAAGATATTAGGACGCTTGCCAATCATCTTTTCAATCATGTCACCGAGAGTCTCTGTGCCTAAAATGATAATAAAATAATGACAAAAAAATTGATACATGTACAGACAGCAGGCAGAACATTTGCCTTTACCCATGAAGTTTTCAGAATGAATCAGTGGGAACAGGTGCTCTACCGACTGGCTGCGGTTTGTCCCATTCTTTAGCCAGATCCCGTATGTCCCTCATTACGTTACAAAGAGAGCCAATGTCGTAGTTCATTTATTCTCAAAGATGTTAGTGCAAAGTTAAAAAAAAAGGAAAAAAAACCTCTATTGACACTAAGTGATAAAAAAAAGTTCGTCGGCGTCTTGCCTTCGCTGATTCAAACTTCCCTTTAAAATCGTCCGGGTGAAGTTAAAGCCACGGTAACGCTAACTATCTCATTGCTTTGTAATCTTGGTTTAATCAACTGAGTTGATAAAGTAAATTGGCCACCGTAAAGAGTTTCAAAGTAGACGCCCTATTGCTTGGTACATAACATACAGCATAAGACACAAGACTGTTAAAGTGCCCATAAACCCCCAATTTTTTTTTTTGCTTAAATTAATCTTTTTATAATTCTGAGCAAAACAGCGCAAAAATGTTTGTTTTTGGTCAAATCTGCAATTTTTTATGAATTTTTCAAGTCTGGTTTTTTCTTCCCACGACTGAGTAAAAGGGAGACTGGGACTAGTGACGTAAACCCGGACAAGAGAGGAGACCTTCGCGAGCTGGAGACGCCTAGTTTTCTTTATGCGCCGTTGAAAACCATTTTTATTCGGTTGACATTTGTTTTGTACGCACACGTTGATCAAGAAATGGCTTCGTACGACTTCATTCCGACCTCTAGTTTAGATTCTGAAGTCTCAAAAATGAAAGATTACGACTTGGAAGTTGATGGTTCACCAAATTCGAGTTATACGGCCAGTGATGAGAAAGGTACGTACGAGGCGTGTTAAGATACACCAGTTAATTATACGTGACAGTGGCCAACTCGAAAGCTATGCTACTTTGGTCACTGTGCACATTTTACTTTTGATTATTGATGTAATTTACTGTTTCTTATATATTCTGACTTTTATAATCTGTAGTAACCTCTTGAAATAGTGCGAATAAAGAGTTTCAGTTCAGTTTCAGAGGCATATGGCGACGATCCGCTAACGGACGAGGAATGGATAGAGTTGTATGAACGAGACAGAAATGAGGAAGAGGTCCTAGAGAAGGCGCTCCAAAAGTGCCTAAATGGTACAGAAAAAGTCCGAGACTGGTAAGTTTCCGGCCGCGATAACCTCACTCCCGTTGTTGCTAAGCTTGTCAATAAGTGCACATTGGTTATAATGTCAGGTACATCTCCCAGGCATGGTTTCAGCTTTGATCGGAGTCACAACGCGCGAAGCTCAAAGTCCGGGTTTTACGTCACGAATTACACTCGATTCATTCCCTTTCGGCAGGTTCCGCTGCTCGGTTATGGGTTTTCGAATCTCGATTTTCCGCCACTTTAAAAATTCATAGAAAATTCGGCTTTCAACCAAAAACCAAAATTTTTGCGCCATTTTGCTCAGAATTATAAAAGGATTTATTTAAGCATAAAAACATTTTTGGGTTTATGGGCACTTTAATAGCAACCTTTATCATCAACACTCACCAACTCCCCAGCCTATTATGGCTGCCTCGCAAAATCCAATGAAAAGAAGCGAGATACCGCCTGACTGGGCGTCGAATAAGTTGAACAGGTACATGCCGCCCTAACAATAGACATTTTAGTTGATAAAGGTCATATAAATCGCAAAAACAAACAAACGAACAAACAATCAAAAAGGTGAACAAAGCGACAACTAAGAACCAGTAAGCTGGTTAGATGTGTAAGGTCATGGGGCAATGAAAGTCAGGTGTCCATGTTTATACTACTGTACTTTAAACTCTTTCTCGCCTACAGGAACTTGCTGTGTAAGCCACTTATGCGTTATTCGTAGAAATTTCATAAGCAACGGCCATTTGAACCCTTTTCCTAATGGTCAATATGGTGTGTAGTCGAGTAAGGTGGAACATTTTTTTCTCAAGGAGAAATGATACACCATCGTCTTACAGTAATCCATTACATTGAGGTTTATCAGTGTGAAATTTCAGCAGTTGGACGTTCTGGTTACGTAGATCGCACGACTTTACAATTGCGAGCAGTCCGTTCTTACCTCGGCGCACATAGGTATAGCGAGCAGGAACAACAACACGCACACGCCAATAAGAAATATCCACTTGTATTTTCTGAGGTATTTTGGATACTCATCTGAAAGCCCTGTTACGACACACTCCACCATAGCGAACTGTAGGTCAAGATATTAAAATGAATTCAGGAGGGTTTGCTTCCCGTGATGATTCGTCAACTTCTGTTAGTAACATATACTAGTAGTGCATCATAAAAAAAAAATAATAACAAATTTACTACCTATAACGCGCCTTTATCCATTTACATATGATCATATGCGCACAAACAAACAAAAAAATTTTTCAAACAAACATAAAGTATTTGAAAAGCCTCCCAACTGGCAGGAGGTAGATCAGTTGGCTATTTACACAGCACAGCTGAGCAGTTGAA